TGATAGTGCTGACACACCCCTTTAGACAAAGCATGTCCGCTCCTTCATACTTGCACGTTAGTGATAGTGCTGACACACCCCTTTAGACAAAGCATGTCCGCTCCTTCATACTTGCACGTTAGTGATAGTGCTGACACACCCCTTTAGACAAAGCATGTCCGCTCCTTCATACTTGCACGTTAGTGATAGTGCTGACACACCCCTTTAGACAAAGCATGTCCGCTCCTTCATACTTGCACGTTAGTGATAGTGCTGACACACCCCTTTAGACAAAGCATGTCCGCTCCTTCATACTTGCACGTTAGTGATAGTGCTGACACACCCCTTTAGACAAAGCATGTCCGCTCCTTCATACTTGCACGTTAGTGATAGTGCTGACACACCCCTTTAGACAAAGCATGTCCGCTCCTTCATACTTGCACGTTAGTGATAGTGCTGACACACCCCTTTAGACAAAGCATGTCCGCTCCTTCATACTTGCACGTTAGTGATAGTGCTGACACACCCCTTTAGACAAAGCATGTCCGCTCCTTCATACTTGCACGTTAGTGATAGTGCTGACACACCCCTTTAGACAAAGCATGTCCGCTCCTTCATACTTGCACGTTAGTGATAGTGCTGACACACCCCTTTAGACAAAGCATGTCCGCTCCTTCATACTTGCACGTTAGTGATAGTGCTGACACACCCCTTTAGACAAAGCATGTCCGCTCCTTCATACTTGCACGTTAGTGATAGTGCTGACACACCCCTTTAGACAAAGCATGTCCGCTCCTTCATACTTGCACGTTAGTGATAGTGCTGACACACCCCTTTAGACAAAGCATGTCCGCTCCTTCATACTTGCACGTTAGTGATAGTGCTGACACACCCCTTTAGACAAAGCATGTCCGCTCCTTCATACTTGCACGTTAGTGATAGTGCTGACACACCCCTTTAGACAAAGCATGTCCGCTCCTTCATACTTGCACGTTAGTGATAGTGCTGACACACCCCTTTAGACAAAGCATGTCCGCTCCTTCATACTTGCACGTTAGTGATAGTGCTGACACACCCCTTTAGACAAAGCATGTCCGCTCCTTCATACTTGCACGTTAGTGATAGTGCTGACACACCCCTTTAGACAAAGCATGTCCGCTCCTTCATACTTGCACGTTAGTGATAGTGCTGACACACCCCTTTAGACAAAGCATGTCCGCTCCTTCATACTTGCACGTTAGTGATAGTGCTGACACACCCCTTTAGACAAAGCATGTCCGCTCCTTCATACTTGCACGTTAGTGATAGTGCTGACACACCCCTTTAGACAAAGCATGTCCGCTCCTTCATACTTGCACGTTAGTGATAGTGCTGACACACCCCTTTAGACAAAGCATGTCCGCTCCTTCATACTTGCACGTTAGTGATAGTGCTGACACACCCCTTTAGACAAAGCATGTCCGCTCCTTCATACTTGCACGTTAGTGATAGTGCTGACACACCCCTTTAGACAAAGCATGTCCGCTCCTTCATACTTGCACGTTAGTGATAGTGCTGACACACCCCTTTAGACAAAGCATGTCCGCTCCTTCATACTTGCACGTTAGTGATAGTGCTGACACACCCCTTTAGACAAAGCATGTCCGCTCCTTCATACTTGCACGTTAGTGATAGTGCTGACACACCCCTTTAGACAAAGCATGTCCGCTCCTTCATACTTGCACGTTAGTGATAGTGCTGACACACCCCTTTAGACAAAGCATGTCCGCTCCTTCATACTTGCACGTTAGTGATAGTGCTGACACACCCCTTTAGACAAAGCATGTCCGCTCCTTCATACTTGCACGTTAGTGATAGTGCTGACACACCCCTTTAGACAAAGCATGTCCGCTCCTTCATACTTGCACGTTAGTGATAGTGCTGACACACCCCTTTAGACAAAGCATGTCCGCTCCTTCATACTTGCACGTTAGTGATAGTGCTGACACACCCCTTTAGACAAAGCATGTCCGCTCCTTCATACTTGCACGTTAGTGATAGTGCTGACACACCCCTTTAGACAAAGCATGTCCGCTCCTTCATACTTGCACGTTAGTGATAGTGCTGACACACCCCTTTAGACAAAGCATGTCCGCTCCTTCATACTTGCACGTTAGTGATAGTGCTGACACACCCCTTTAGACAAAGCATGTCCGCTCCTTCATACTTGCACGTTAGTGATAGTGCTGACACACCCCTTTAGACAAAGCATGTCCGCTCCTTCATACTTGCACGTTAGTGATAGTGCTGACACACCCCTTTAGACAAAGCATGTCCGCTCCTTCATACTTGCACGTTAGTGATAGTGCTGACACACCCCTTTAGACAAAGCATGTCCGCTCCTTCATACTTGCACGTTAGTGATAGTGCTGACACACCCCTTTAGACAAAGCATGTCCGCTCCTTCATACTTGCACGTTAGTGATAGTGCTGACACACCCCTTTAGACAAAGCATGTCCGCTCCTTCATACTTGCACGTTAGTGATAGTGCTGACACACCCCTTTAGACAAAGCATGTCCGCTCCTTCATACTTGCACGTTAGTGATAGTGCTGACACACCCCTTTAGACAAAGCATGTCCGCTCCTTCATACTTGCACGTTAGTGATAGTGCTGACACACCCCTTTAGACAAAGCATGTCCGCTCCTTCATACTTGCACGTTAGTGATAGTGCTGACACACCCCTTTAGACAAAGCATGTCCGCTCCTTCATACTTGCACGTTAGTGATAGTGCTGACACACCCCTTTAGACAAAGCATGTCCGCTCCTTCATACTTGCACGTTAGTGATAGTGCTGACACACCCCTTTAGACAAAGCATGTCCGCTCCTTCATACTTGCACGTTAGTGATAGTGCTGACACACCCCTTTAGACAAAGCATGTCCGCTCCTTCATACTTGCACGTTAGTGATAGTGCTGACACACCCCTTTAGACAAAGCATGTCCGCTCCTTCATACTTGCACGTTAGTGATAGTGCTGACACACCCCTTTAGACAAAGCATGTCCGCTCCTTCATACTTGCACGTTAGTGATAGTGCTGACACACCCCTTTAGACAAAGCATGTCCGCTCCTTCATACTTGCACGTTAGTGATAGTGCTGACACACCCCTTTAGACAAAGCATGTCCGCTCCTTCATACTTGCACGTTAGTGATAGTGCTGACACACCCCTTTAGACAAAGCATGTCCGCTCCTTCATACTTGCACGTTAGTGATAGTGCTGACACACCCCTTTAGACAAAGCATGTCCGCTCCTTCATACTTGCACGTTAGTGATAGTGCTGACACACCCCTTTAGACAAAGCATGTCCGCTCCTTCATACTTGCACGTTAGTGATAGTGCTGACACACCCCTTTAGACAAAGCATGTCCGCTCCTTCATACTTGCACGTTAGTGATAGTGCTGACACACCCCTTTAGACAAAGCATGTCCGCTCCTTCATACTTGCACGTTAGTGATAGTGCTGACACACCCCTTTAGACAAAGCATGTCCGCTCCTTCATACTTGCACGTTAGTGATAGTGCTGACACACCCCTTTAGACAAAGCATGTCCGCTCCTTCATACTTGCACGTTAGTGATAGTGCTGACACACCCCTTTAGACAAAGCATGTCCGCTCCTTCATACTTGCACGTTAGTGATAGTGCTGACACACCCCTTTAGACAAAGCATGTCCGCTCCTTCATACTTGCACGTTAGTGATAGTGCTGACACACCCCTTTAGACAAAGCATGTCCGCTCCTTCATACTTGCACGTTAGTGATAGTGCTGACACACCCCTTTAGACAAAGCATGTCCGCTCCTTCATACTTGCACGTTAGTGATAGTGCTGACACACCCCTTTAGACAAAGCATGTCCGCTCCTTCATACTTGCACGTTAGTGATAGTGCTGACACACCCCTTTAGACAAAGCATGTCCGCTCCTTCATACTTGCACGTTAGTGATAGTGCTGACACACCCCTTTAGACAAAGCATGTCCGCTCCTTCATACTTGCACGTTAGTGATAGTGCTGACACACCCCTTTAGACAAAGCATGTCCGCTCCTTCATACTTGCACGTTAGTGATAGTGCTGACACACCCCTTTAGACAAAGCATGTCCGCTCCTTCATACTTGCACGTTAGTGATAGTGCTGACACACCCCTTTAGACAAAGCATGTCCGCTCCTTCATACTTGCACGTTAGTGATAGTGCTGACACACCCCTTTAGACAAAGCATGTCCGCTCCTTCATACTTGCACGTTAGTGATAGTGCTGACACACCCCTTTAGACAAAGCATGTCCGCTCCTTCATACTTGCACGTTAGTGATAGTGCTGACACACCCCTTTAGACAAAGCATGTCCGCTCCTTCATACTTGCACGTTAGTGATAGTGCTGACACACCCCTTTAGACAAAGCATGTCCGCTCCTTCATACTTGCACGTTAGTGATAGTGCTGACACACCCCTTTAGACAAAGCATGTCCGCTCCTTCATACTTGCACGTTAGTGATAGTGCTGACACACCCCTTTAGACAAAGCATGTCCGCTCCTTCATACTTGCACGTTAGTGATAGTGCTGACACACCCCTTTAGACAAAGCATGTCCGCTCCTTCATACTTGCACGTTAGTGATAGTGCTGACACACCCCTTTAGACAAAGCATGTCCGCTCCTTCATACTTGCACGTTAGTGATAGTGCTGACACACCCCTTTAGACAAAGCATGTCCGCTCCTTCATACTTGCACGTTAGTGATAGTGCTGACACACCCCTTTAGACAAAGCATGTCCGCTCCTTCATACTTGCACGTTAGTGATAGTGCTGACACACCCCTTTAGACAAAGCATGTCCGCTCCTTCATACTTGCACGTTAGTGATAGTGCTGACACACCCCTTTAGACAAAGCATGTCCGCTCCTTCATACTTGCACGTTAGTGATAGTGCTGGCACACCCCTTTAGGAAGGAAGCAGAGGACGCTGAGGCGTCAAAGAGCATGTTCGTGGCGTGCATGTCTCACGAGCTGAGGACACCGATGACTGGGATCATCGGTACGTACGGTGTTCACGAATTACCGGGTCTGGCCTTTTAGGCGGGTGAAGAAGATTTGGAGGGAGCAGAGGCGTCAAAGAGCACGTTCGTGGCTTGCATGTCTCATTGGTTACACTGCAGCTGACGAGGGCTTGCTTGTCTTATGAGCTCAGGACACCGATGACGGGCATCATTGGTAAGACAAAATGCTTATTGCGTTATCATATATGCTGTTCGTTTCCGCTGTTTTAGATGGTCTAAGGTTGCTAATACTAGCATTAATTCCTTCACCATTGCTTGTGAGGCTCGCGATTGCTAACCCTTCGTCGTGATATGATACACTTTTTTCCTACACCTCTCTCTCCCAACAGGCATGCTCCATGCTCTAGCGGACATGACTCTCCAACCCCTTGACCTATCAGACCCAACTTGTCCATACCACGTTCTCTTGGCACCATGCTCCCTTCTTCCATCATCCCTCTCTCCCACTAGGCATGCTCGATGCTTTGGCAGATGCTACGCACCGTCCTTCATGCACCCCTCCCTCTCCCCCACTCCCCCACCAGGCATGCTCGATGCTTTGGCAGACATGGCGCTCCAACCCCCTGACCTATCAGACCTGCTCATCGCGCGGGGGTGTGCGACGGATACGCTGCATCTGGTCAACCGCGTGTTGGATCTGGCGAAGCTGGAGGCAGGAAGGGCGGTGGTGGATGAGGCGGTGACCGATGTGTGCCAGTGGCTGCATGGCGCGTTGCACAGGCACGCGGAGGAGGCACGCTCGAAAGGGATTGAATGTGAGTCGCTGGTTTGATGAAGGGGGGTGCAGCGCATGTGGCGAGGCTGGAGGCGGGAAAGGCGGTGGTGGATGAGGCGGTGACTGATGTGCGCCAGTGGCTGCATGCCGCCTTGGACCGGCACGCGGAGGCAGCACTCTCCAAAGGGATGAAGTGTGAGTGCCTCATTGTGGGGGGTGCACAGCGTCTGGTGAGAGGGGTGCACAGCGTCTGGTGAGAGGGGTGCACAGCGTCTGGTGAGAGGCAGGCAGGGCGGTGGGGGATGAGATGGTGGTTGACATGAGGGAGTGGGTGCATGCCGCCTTGGACCGGCACGTGGAGGCAGCACGCTCCAAAGGAATCGAGTGTGAGTGGCTCTTTGAGATTTCTTTCCAAACGCAAGCTTTGGTTGCCGGTGATTGATGTGTGCCATGCCAGTGGCTGCATGCTGCCTTGGACCGACAAGCGGAGATGGCACGCTCCAAAGGCGTCGAGTGTGAGTGCACAAAAGAGTTCATCAAGAGATGGGGTTTTGATATGCCTAGATCTAGTTACATCTCAAGACGTGATGTATCATATACTTGTTCTCCTTGTGATGCTTGTAGATTGTTGAGCATTTTCCCTCGAAGTAAATACTTGAAATATTATCTTCCTTGATGCTTACCCCACACATACTTTCTGCCTCCTTTACCCCACTCGTATCTCCTTCCGCTTCAGTTTGCGACAGTGTTGACGACGACGTTCCCACTTACATTATCGCCGACTCGATGCACCTCTCTAAAGTTCTGAAAGAAATCACAGGTACGTGGTGAAAGGCATGAGCACGTGTCGAATCCGAACCAGTTCGCCTCGAATTGCCTCGAACTGGTCAAATGGTCGAACTGGTCAAATGGTCAAACTGAATCCGAACTGGTCCATGTCGAACCGACTCAAGACCTGAGCTGGACCATGTTGGGATTGACGAGCTACGCGTTTTTGGCACGAGCATCAAATATGACAAGGACGGTGGTCATTCTCAGCTTGTTGATGCTCTCATAGCAATGGCACAGCAGCGATTCAACATTGGCAACGCTATGATCATGAGAGAGCACAACATGCTGCACAACATGCTGCACAACATGCTGCACAACATGCTGCACAACATGCTGCACAACATGCTGCACAACATGCTGCACAACATGCTGCACAACATGATGCACAACATGCTGCACAACATGCTGTACAACATGCTGTACAACATGCTGTACAACATGCTGTACAATAGACATGGGCAACGGACCGAGTTGAGTAAAACTCGACTCGGTCTGGGCCAAAACTCGACCGAGTTCGAGCTCGAGTCGGGTGAAACCCGGTCGAGTTTTTTTGCCAAGGTTCAGGACTCGAGACTTGACTGTATAAGGGCGAGTTTTAAAAAACTCGACCGGCACTATTCATACGCTCGGTCGAGTCCTAGTTAAATTCGGCTCGGCGGGGGGGAGTGGGGGGGGAACACACCATAGAAAAGAAAAGTGAGACCTGAGGCTTATTTTCGTGCATGGTTTTTTGTTGTATACCCTATATTATTGTACGCCTGCGACACTGCATAGCCGTCTCCACCTGGTCTTCCCCCCCCCTCCTCCCGCATGATCGCCACGGTGGGTTCCTCCCGCCCCCGCTTTCCCGCCGTTGGTGTTCTTACTTGTCAGCTGCTTGAATTTCGCCATGCTAAATCAGTAGATCGACCGTTACATTATTAAATAGTAGCGTTTCCTCCTCAAACCCTAATCGAAACCAACCATACAATAAAACCGCGACCCTAACTAAGCGTAAACCTAGATCTACGTTGCCCCTGAACCGATCTTAAGTTTAAGAAGAAAAAACAGCCGGGCGTTTGACTGGTTTGGCTCTGGAAACTACGGACGACATGTTGAGAAAGGTGACTGACTGAAATCGAGATCTGAAAATGGACCCGCAAAACTTCAACTTTCGAAATTTGTATGCCCACCCCACCCCAATGTCGCGACGAGTTTTTCGTAAACTCGCCGAGTCCAGAAAACTCGACGAGTCTGGAAAAAACTCGACATGGGGCCCGAGCTTGGACCGAGTTTTTTAAAAACTCGGCGGGTAAAACTCGACTCGGTCCGGTCGAGTTTTTTCAACGGGTCCTCGCACTCGACACTCGACCAGTAACGAGTCCCCCGATCGAGTCGAGCTTGGAAACTCGACTCTTTGCCCATGTCTACTGTACAACATGCTGTACAACATGCTGCACAACATGCTGTACAACATGCTGTACAACATGCTGCACAACATGCTGCACAACATGCTGTACAACATGCTGCACAACATGCTGCACAACATGCTGTACAACATGCTGTACAACATGCTGTACAACATGCTGCACAACATGCTGCACAACATGCTGTACAACATGCTGTACAACATGCTGCACAACATGCCGTACAACATGCTGCACAACATGCTGTACAACATGCTGTACAACATGCTGTACAACATGCCTGTTGATTTTCTCATAGCGATAGCGCAACAGCGATTCAACATTGGCAACACTAGGATATCATGAGAGCTACAACACCTATTAGGCTATGGGATTGAGGGAAGGATTACCATGTGCACAGTAGGTTACGTGGGGCCCTCTGTAGCATCAATGGTGGCCGAGTTGAAGCCAACCCGGCACGCCATCAAAATGGCCAGTCTGAGTTGGGCCTTTCCATCCCACTGCTCATGCGTTGACTGCCTATCCATCGATTGAGGGCCAACTTGCATTCCTCAATCGACACTAGCTGTGGTTGTGTGTTCGTGCTCTTGTGCTCAATTTCACATGATGTATGATTTCACCACACACCACCACCTTGGTTTCCTTTCAGATAACGCAGTGAAATTTAAAGAGCAAGGCCGTGTGACAATCCGGGTGTCGCTGGTGCCAGGTGTCGTTGCTCAATTTTACATGTTCGTGCTCTAGTGCTCAACTTTACTGCACACCACCACACCACCTTGGTTTCCTTTCAGACAACGCAGTGAAGTTCACGGATCAAGGCCATGTGACAGTTCGGGTGTCGCTGGTGCCACTAGGGACAAGTTTGCAAGACGCCCTTCATTGCCAGGGTAAGCAACTGCGTGAGCATTTACATTCACATTTGAGAGCTTGTTACATGAATAAACTTCGCTCACTCTGTTACGCCGTTACTCATTCCCTCTTCCCCCCCCACCCTTCGCACCCGCCTTGCTCCTCCATCCAGGCCTTTTCACCGCCACCCCTCAGGCACCCACTTCCACTCTCACCAGCTGGATGCTGCCTGGTCTTCCTCATTCCCGTGCGTTCCCCACGCCCTCTCCCCCCCACCCTTCGCACCCGCCTTGCTCCTCTCCTCCAGGTCTCTCCACCGCCACCCCTCACGCACCCACGCCTGCTCTCACCAGCTCGGCGACTGCCTGGATTCTCTCTACCTTTCGCTGGCTGAAACATGTCACCACAACACGGGCACTTCCAGCAGCAGCTGCAGCAGCAGCAGCAGCAAGTGCAGCGAGCAACACACTACGTGGATCGAGGGAGGGGAGGGGGAATGCCAGGAATCCTGAGTGGGAGAATGGGCAGTGGTTGGGTGTGTTGGTGCTGTCGTGCCGGGATTCAGGGTGCGGCCTGCCACCGTCTCTGCTCGGAGCTCAAGGCACCAGAGAGGCTTCGCACTTCTCGCTTGCGGTAAGTTGTTGTCAGCTCTCGTGTCACGGTGGGTTGTTGTTAGCTCTCACATTCCTGGTGCTGTCGTGCCGAGATTCAGGGTGCGGCCTGCCACCGTCTCTGCTCGGAGCTCAAGGCACCAGGGAGGCTTCGCACTTGTTTCTTGAAGTGAGTGGGAACGAATGGCTACTTTTGGCTTCGCATGTGGGATGAGGGATTCGAAATGCGGCCTGCCACCCTTTTTTGAGAATCCTCAAAAGTGATTTCCATCTGCTTGGAGTCCACAGCAACTGGGTGAATGAGGGAGGCTTCACACTTTTAGCTTGTAATGAGTCAAATCAAAAGAAAGATGGAGGCTTCACACTTTTAGCTTGTAATGAGTCAAATCAAAAGAAAGATGGAGGCTTCACACTTTTAGCTTGTAATGAGTCAAATCAAAAGAAAGATGGAGGCTTCACACTTTTAGCTTGTAATGAGTCAAATCAAAAGAAAGATGGAGGCTTCACACTTTGCGGAGTTGAGGGAGGCCTCTGCGGAGGCCTTACTTCACACTTTGCGCTTGCAATGAGGGTGAATGAATGGCTTCAAGTTGATGGAAGTAACAAGGCCTCCGCAGCCTCCGCAGCCTCCGCAGCCTCCGCAGCCCACATTCCCTGCATTGACAAGCCCTGCCACCCTCTCTGCTTGGAGTTCACAGCAACTGGGAGGCTTCACACTAGTTGCTTGCAATGAGGGTGAATGAATGGCTTCACACTTGTCGCTTGCAATGAGGGTGAATGAATGGCTTCACACTTGTCGCTTGCAATGAGGGTGAATGAATGGCTTCACACTTGTCGCTTGCAATGAGGGTGAATGAATGGCTTCACAATTGTCGCTTGCAATGAGGGTGAATGAGTGGCTTCACTTCACACTTGTCGCTTGCAATGAGGGTGAATGAATGGCTTCACACTTGTCGCTTGCAATGAGGGTGAATGAATGGCTTCACACTTGTCGCTTGCAATGAGGGTGAATGAATGGCTTCACACTTGTCGCTTGCAATGAGGGTGAATGAATGGCTTCACACTTGTCGCTTGCAATGAGGGTGAATGAATGGCTTCACACTTGTCGCTTGCAATGAGGGTGAATGAATGGCTTCACACTTGTCGCTTGCAATGAGGGTGAATGAATGGCTTCACACTTGTCGCTTGCAATGAGGGTGAATGAATGGCTTCACACTTGTCGCTTGCAATGAGGGTGAATGAATGGCTTCACACTTGTCGCTTGCAATGAGGGTGGAAGTAAGGCCTCCGCAGCCCACCTGTCCTGCATTGACAAGCCCTGCCACCCCCTCTGCTTGGAGTCACGTGAAATTATAAGTGTTTTGAGACGTCTCAAAACACTTCTAAATTCACGTCACCCTCTCTGCTTGAAGTCCACAGGGTACGGGCAGCCTTTGCACTCCTCCCTCGTGGTGAGTTTTATTAGCTTTAACGTTGCCGGTGGTGTCGTGCTGAGATTTGAAATGCGGCCTGCCACTGTCTCTGCTCCAACCCTAGGGCAGGGGGGAGGCTCTAACACCATCCCACGCCACCCCATGCCATCATGTCAACCTGTCCCATCCCATCCCAACATGGATCTCATCCTGCCTTTAACCCCTTTGCATGACATGGCATGGCATGGTATGGCATGGCATGGCATGGTATGGCATGGTATGGCATGGTATGGCATGGCACCCTCACCATTCAGGAGTTGCATGAGGTAGGGAGTGGATCAAGAGCATCACTTGGGCTCGTGCTGATGCAGCAGATGGTGAGTGCTCATGCAGCAGATGGTGAGTGCTCATGCAGCAGATGGTGAGTGCTCATGCAGCAGATGGTGAGTGCTCATGCGCGCGCACACACACACATAGCGTAACATTGAACAGTGACATAAGTGGTCTGAGCGATGACATCAGCACGCAATCATCATAGCAGCATTAGAGCATTCAAGACTGTAGCTTGGACTAAGGGATTTGCAGCACTGAACATCTCGCATAAGGAATCATGCTCATACACTGTGCGATGGCGGCATGAGAATGACTGATCTTTTGGATGTATGTGACTGATAACAACACTTTTTTTTTCTTGCAACGCGCAGGTGACTCTAATGAAGGGAGAGATTGCCTTTGATTCCCAGCCTGGCTGTGGCTCCACTGTGGCGTTTTCCGTGCCCGTGGCCATTCCCTCACTACAAGAACACTGCTCGCTACAAGAACACTGCTCAGATGAGGAACTTGTCGTGTTGGCATCGCAAGAGATGCAGAGTCAGGAAACAGAGTCAGGTGATTCCCCAGGTGGTTCCAGCAGTGCTTGTTGGCAGGAAACAGGCTTCGGAATTTGTTCCGGTGTTGGCAGCGGTACGCAGAATCACAGTTCGGAACCAATGGAGCAGTGTGAAGAGACGAATCTGCTTCCGCAGCACTGCCAGGAGAATTTCCAGGTGGTCCAAGATAACCTGAACCAGCAGCAGCAGTTGCAGCCACAGAAACCGCAGCAGCAGCCACAGCAGCAACATGAGCGATCACTAGTGGCACTGGCAAGGGTGGGCAGTGCAGGAGAAGGCTCAGCAGTTTTCGAGGGAAGAGAAGTACAGAGTGCTTCAAATGGGAGAGCAAGCAGAAGGCTTCGGCGATACTCGTCTTCAGCAGCAGCCGAAACCACTGCCACAGCTACCGGCCTGCGAACGGCGGCGGCAGATGAGGCGGTGACGCGGGCGTGGGTGGGCGGGCTGCGAGTGCTAGTGGTTGACGACACGCCTGTAAATCTCCTCGTGGCCCGCCGCTCCCTCGCCAACTGGGGCGCCCGAGTCACCACCGCCTCCCGTGGGGAGCAGGCGATAGAGTTGATCGCTGCTGGGGTGGAGGGAGGTGGAGGTCAGGAGGAGGGGAGAGGGGAGGAGGGGGCGAGTGGGAAGCAGGAGGCAAGAGAGCAGCAGGAGGGGAGAGAGCAGCAGGAGGGGAGAGAGCAGCAGGAGGGGAGAGAGCAGCAGGAGGATGTGTCCCTGCAGCATGCGTTCGACCTGGTTCTCATGGACCTGCAGATGCCGGGCATGGACGGGTGAGTAGTCATGAGCGGTGGTGAGCGGTGAGCATGGAATGGTTGCCTCGTGAATGTGGGTGAGTGAGCCATCGATGTGGATGATTCCCGAACCTGAGTCCTGAACCTGAGTCCCGAACCTGAGTGGTGAACGTTTTTTTCCTGTGAAACCTGCTTCATTGCAAACCTAATCCTTCTTCACTTGACGTAATGCAAACCTGCTCTGTTCCTCCCTTCCGGTCCATGCCTCCTTGCCTTGCCAGCTTCGCAACAGCAGCAGCCATACGGGACCTCGAGAAGAGAGTGGAGTTTGAAGCCATTTCACGAGCACAGCAGTTGCAGCAGCAGAGGCATCATCAAACCCCTTCTGCTCTGCCCGTCCCTCCCCTAGAAGCTTCAAACCCTGCTGCTGCCCCTGCTGGGTGGCCTGTCTCTCTGCGGGTGCCCATAGTGGCTCTGACAGCCGACGTGGATCGCGGAGTGGTGCAGAGGTGTGCAGAGGGGGGGTTTGACGGTGTGCTGCAGAAGCCAGTGGATGCCCACCTGCTCGCCGCCCACCTCTCCCACATGCACTTCCACCGCTCCCTCCGACGCTAGCACTCACTCCAACACTCATTCCTTCAGCACCCACCTGCTCGCCGCCCACCTCTCCCACATGCACTTCCACCGCTCCCATGGGCAGTAGCAATCACTGGGATGGTAGCTACTCAACCCCACCGCACTTCCACCACTCACTCAGACGCTAGCACTCACTCCAGCAGTAGCAGTCATTCCAGCAGCAGTAGTCGTTCGAACACTCGCACGCTCACACCCCTTACACAAACTCACTCTTGGCTGGCCGCCCACCTGCTGGCCGCCCACCTGCTGGCCGCCCACCTGCTGACCGTCCACCTCAACCAAATGTACTTCCAACATTTGCTCGGGTAATAGCACTCACTCCCACCGCACTTCCACCACTCCCTCCGGCAGTGGCCTTCACTGCAGCGGTAGCTCCCCCTCCAACACCCACACGCTCACACCCCTTCCATAAACTGGCTCACTCAGGCTGCTTCACAAGCCACTCCCACACGAACTCTTGACAGATTGTCTTGACAGATTGTCTTGACATGTTGGAGAAGGTTCGGCAGGTAATGACGTTCAACTAGGCCAGGTCAGCCCTACTATATTCACACGACCACTAGAACCATTGGATTTTTGCCGACGTCGTCCCAGTAATAGAAGGGCTGGGTTGTGTCCCGAGTTATCTGTTCATACCAAGTTTAGGGTTTTAGGGTGCAACTAGTGTTTGTACAGCATGGTGCCATTGGAATGTTACTGGTATGGCTCTCGGCCATATGTTTACGTTACAGTATGATCCAGCCAAACTTGGGGCATTGTCACACATGCCCTGCATTATTACTTGAGCAGTGAGCGCACTCTATGAGAATCAGATAGCGCCGCGGTGTGATCGGCAGAGTAAATATGGGGCTTGACTTCGTGCTTGCTGCACAAGGGAACAACACAGCGTAGCAATAGTGCCTGCTACCAAACAAGCAAGGTCCATGCAGGCTTGAATAGTATATATTCCACCTAAAAAATGGTGTTATATTATGCATGGGTTTGGACCGTTAATGTTGTCATCGGCCGTATGTCCTATCAATCACTGCTCTGAAAAGTGGCTTGTTGTTATGAGTGCAATTCATGAAGCGAGCAAAGATTGTATCGTACTAAGGGGCAAAGGATCAATCATGTGAGCGAAGGCATGAACGAACATTTATAGCGAAACATGCAAACGGTAACACGGCCTTCCAAGCTAGCTAGTGCCATGCTCGCAACTAGGCTCGGGCTAGTCCCGAAGCGTACGCCGACTCGGCCAAGAACAGCAGTGCGCAGTTTGGTAATAATAAAGACGCGAAGTGGCGAACATTGTTCATCAGTAACCGGCGAAGAACGGTCAAGTGTTGAACGTTATATCGGTGCGCAACACGGAATCTTGGAACCCTCCTCAGGAAGCTCCACTAAGTTAATGCTTGAACGTCGCAGAACTCCCAGCTTCTGGAATACTCCTTGAGGACAGGGTGTTTTTTCATGCTGCCTAGGAGCACCCAACTGTCTTCAGTTGGCGTGCGATCTTTCCAGCGGACAAGGAATCCAATCCTCTGATATCTTTAAGGGTGTCAGATCCAATGGTTAAGGACTTTCTCTACTTCTATGATCGGCTCAGATGACGAGCAAGTCATTGATAGCGGTAGTTGTAGTGGCAACTTGCTGGTGGGCGGACGTATGGTCGAAGGAGACTGACATAGAACGAGGGGCTGATGTACCTGGCGGCAGGTAGTAGGAGATGGGCTGTGACGGGAGTGATCGTTTGGCTGATTTGGAACGGGCCACAACATCGGGGTCGTAATTTTGGTACGGCGAGTAGTACAAAGACTCATGTCCGGTATGTGACGGGGTGGTTGTGGCAATCAACATATTTTTTTGCGATGGTGTTGGCCTTTTTCATTGCCTCTGCTGCGCGGGTCCAGGCAGCTTGCAGTATTTTGGTGGCCTGTTGAGCACGTCGTGTCGAGTTGAGTGGGTTTGGTGTCATGTGCACTGTGGGGTTCTGTTCATATTTCATGTAGAACGTTGACAATTTTCCGTAGCCGATGCGGCGTTGTTGTAAGCGAACTCGATCAACTGTAGTTGCTGCTCCATGCCGTGGGGTCGCCATATGTAGAGCAAATCATCTACTCCATGGTCTGATTCGTTCGTTCCGTCTTTCCGTCGGTCTCGGGGTGATTTGATGAACTGGACTGTAGATGCGTGTTGAACTGCTCCCAGAGGTTTTTCCTGAAATTTCTCGTGAACTTCGTGTCGCGGTCGCTGATTATCACTAATGATCACTCGTACAACCCGTGTCCTTCAACGTAGTCCACATCCCGTTGTAGAGTGACTCTCCGCATCCCGCACTCAATCCCTCCCACACCTAATCCCGTCCGCACTTAATTCTGTCCCGCACTCAATCCCTTCCCACACTAAATCCCGTCCCGCTCTCCATTCCGGCCCGCAGTCATTCCCATCGCTCTCATACTATTGTCGCTCTCCTTCTCCTGTCAACCTCCTTCGCATTGGTCACATATCACTCACACGCATCTTCCACGACTCACTCACACAAGTTCCTCTCGCTCCTTTTCTCCTGGCCCTCTCCTCTCCACTCCTCTCCTCTCCTCTCCTCTCTTCAACTCTCCTCTCCTCTCCTCTCCTCTCCTCTCCTCTCCTCTCCTCTCCTCTCCTCTCCTCTCCTCTCATCCCTTGCCTCTATCTCCCCTCCTTCCCTACCCCCTTGTTGCGTCAAGTAAGCCGATCGCCGGTTTCCCTTTTTGCCCTTTTCCTCCCTTTGCTGAGTTCTAATCAGCGCCTTTCCATTCCGTTCCACATATATCCATTTCTCTGTTCTCATTCCCTCTTACTCCTCCCACCCCTCCAAAGTGAAGCTGCAATGCAATCTGTACCCATGCCTTCGTAGTGAATTCTTGCACCACAAGAGCAGCCACCCTTCCATATTCAGCCGTGGTTTGGTAAGTGATTCGAGCCACATGCTCCTGCCACACATTCTCTCATAGCACAAGCTACAGCCACTAACTCTCGAAACTCACTTATTCCCAAATTTTCACTCACCCTGAGTGGCTCTTACCATCTTTCCGTTCTCCACTCCACCATAACGACCATTGCACCTATCCCTCAGCTCCCTTTTAATACCTTCACTCCCAACTGCTCAAATACCCACTTGTGACCCTCGCAAAATCACTAACTGCATCACTGGCTTACACACCTTGCTCAATCACAAGCCGGCCTCACTCGCACCTAATGCACACATGTTGCCCCTTGCACACAGATTAACCATCCTCACCCACGATATACTCTCCCTCACACACCTTGATCACTCACACACCTTGATCACTCACACACCTTGATCACTCACACACCTTGATCACTCACACACCTTGATCACTCACACACCTTGATCACTCACACACCTTGAGAGCTCACGCACCTTGAAAACTCACACACCTTGCTCACAACACGCCTTGCACACTCGCACACCTTGAGAACTCACGCACCTTGAAAACTCACACACCTTGCACACTCACACACCTTGCTCATTCACACACCTTGATCACTCACACACCTTGATTACTCACACACCTTGCTCACTTACACACCTTGATCACTCATACACTTTGGTCACTCACACACCTTGCTCAATCACACATCTTGCTCAAATACACACCTTGCTCACTCACACACACCTTGCTCACTCACACACATTGCTCACTCATGAGGGGGGATTCAGCTTCCCCTCAGCCAAACCTGTTACCCACTCACCATGGTCAGTTCAGCCTCCCCTTTGCCTCACCTTCTTTCTTCTCATTGTGGGAAGTTTAGCCTCCCATCGTCCTTCTCTTCCCATATTGGGATCCTCCACTTATTACCTCGCCCTCTATGGTACGTCTTGTACTCTTCTCGCAGCCTCCCCTTATCCTCACCCACTAGCACATGAATTTAGCCACCCTTCAGCCTGCATTGGGGTGGTAGGCACCTTAAAGGGTGACTGATAAGTTGAGCACTTCGAATCACCCAAAAAGTGAGTTGAATACGAACGTCCTGCAAGCCGACATTGTCTTGGTGTCCTCAGACAGAAACGGGAGAGCAACAAGTGGTGGGGAGAGGTGATGGGAGATGAGTGACGCGGGGCAGGTGTGTGTGGTGCATGTGAATGTGGCACTGTTGCGTGCGGGGCTGGTGGATGCAGTGCAAGTTAACGTTGTGTGGCGCATAGGAGTGCGATGCAGCTGAGTGTGGGATCACGCCCAGCACAGGGGAGTGGTGTAAATGTCATTGTGGCGATATTCGAGCGCATTGCAGGCTAGTGGTACAACTGCAGACCTGCAATCACCTGTGCGGTAGTATGTGTAAAGCCTCTTGTCACATCAATTGCCACTCGATCTTGATATCTCATAAAGGTATGGCAGCGTATATGCAGTGTGCTCACCATACAAGCTCATTTTCTAGACACATTGCATTGCAAAAACTCACATGGGTTGCATCCTAATGTCACCCTGCAGCACCAACACCAGGTGTGTCTCTGTAGCTTGCTCAACATAAGTAGTGGCAATTGCTGCAAGAGCAATTCCTGCTGCCATCTTTGTTGAAAATATTAGGCGCCGCCCTCGCTTGGGCGAACCTGACATCGCTGACCTGTGCGCAGGGTGTGCAGCTGGCTAGGCTTAATCGTCGACCAGGGCGGCGATGACCAGACGCCGGTCGATGAAGTCAAGTCGTCGGACGGCGTCGAGCCTCGGCGGTTGCCAAAGCTGGTCGTCGGCATGGCACTGAAGTACGTGCGTCGACCGACCGGCGTCGACGCTGGGTGAGCGGCCTCGTTTGTTCGACCAAGTATTTGGTCAACGAAACTTCTCAAGTGAGCGAATTCTGACCCATGCGGTTTTGGAACGCATCGACCTGCGGAACGAGCATCACGTGCTCTACAACCTGGCACCTGCACAATATGCTTTACATGCACAACGTGCACGCAACCGTCAGCTGTGCAGACCTACACCTACTTGGTAGGTGACGCACATATGCGCATCTGTTCACCTGCGTCTGCAGTGCTGGCAGGCCGCCTTGGTGCAACGCTTGCAAGCCGCCTTGCTACAGCGTTGGCATGCCGCCTTCCTGCGGGTTTGGCAAGTTGCTTTCATGTTGTGCTGGAAGTCATCTTGTTAGGTTGCTAGGTGTGTTGCACCATATTCTTCCTATATTGACTTTGTCATGCCATTGTACTATTGTTGTACTTTTTTCTTGGTGAAGCTCTGGCCAATTTCATCTACGACCACAGCAAGTGGTGAGAACGTAGGTAACGCTTCAATCACCTTGTACAACTTGTGACCTTCAACGTATCTCACCTCCTGTTGTAGGGTGACTTTCTGCAAAACATTGCTCTTGAATGTCTACCCATGTAAGTTTTAACATGTGTTGCCTAATCTCGCGTAACGTCACACTAATTTCCTTTTCACGGTTCGTGGCATTGTAGCCAGTTCAAGGCCATCTACAAATTTATTTTAAAAAAAAAAAAAAAAAAAACTTGCGACGTTGACCCTGTACTCGGACGTTCACCAGCCTCATCTTTTATGACTCCCATACTGTCCAGTCAGCACGCACACCGTCTCTCACCACTCACACCAAGCTGATTCGCCGCTAATGAAATGTCGTTGAGAATACTCTCCTCTTGCCGCGACAATCATCGTTGCAACTAGCTTTCTCTGAGAAGTGCAGAAAAAACAAAGGATAGTATGTTTTGGATGGTTTCATCATTACTTCCGCGTCCCTAATCAATATAAAGACCACTCCAACGAAGTGTAACGCACGAACCATGTACGACCTATTGAACAACCCATATCTGTGCTTGCTACGAGATTGTGCTGATGCGAGTAGCGTGAATGATGGATGGCACCATATCTTGTTTCCTGATTTGTTGATTTTGTGGGAGGTTGGCTCACACCTATGCATCGTGTTATTGGTTGTTGTGGCGTTTCGAACACTTCCCAATTCTGTTGTGGCATGATACGTCAAACAACGTTTACGTACTTGTACGTTCGTACTTTTGATATGTTCAATCATCAAGTATATTGAACTATAATAGATTGTGAAGATCCCATTTCTATTCTACATTGCCATTCTAGGAGAAAGTTCTGATTGTAATGGAAATGGCAATGTAGGTTCGGAAAACCCAAGGAGGTTCGGTGGGAAAATTGAGAACCAATCGCGTCAAAACCCCTGTCAATTCTCCCATGAGTGTTCAATCAGGTGGCTGGAGCAAAACTGTCGTACAGTAGCATCTGCCTCTACGTTAGGACGTGGCCCAGACCGCCTCTGATCGGCGCTGATCTGATCGGGTTGGATCTGATCGGGTTGCTTCTGATTGTATGACGAGGTCAACGAGACAATGTAACTTTTTCGCAAGCGTCGCTAGGATCCCCATCCCATGCAATCAACTGATCGTGACTGATTGTGTGTGGTCGTGATTGATTGGGGTGTTTGAGGCGGTTGATTGAGTTGGGGCGATCAATTGATCGCGATCAGTTGATTGCCCCTGATTGCCTGAAATCGGCATCGGAGCTTCCTAGAAGTTATTGATCGCCTCTGATCGAGGCAATCAGAGGCGGTCTGGGCTACGTCCTTACACTTTCGGGGCACATCATTCCAGTTGCGGGCTGTTGAATCTGTTTTTCGTTGTGACGAGTAGTTGGTTCGGGCTGCATTTCGGGTGGGCAAATTCAGCTGGCGGAGTCTCGTTTCCCAGCGCGACATTCTGTATCCAATGTTTGAAAGGGCAGAACTTCGCGCACCTCGGCCTGGGTATTCAGGCGCGTCAAATGTCTGGGAGAGCTGGGACAAGGCGGCTCGGCGAGGAGAGTCCCATGAGCACGCGGCTCGTCTGGCAATTTCCTTCATTGTTGGGAGATTCTCCACAATTGGCACATGGATCAGCAGGTGCAAGCCTAGAAATGCAGGAAGCAGCGGCTGTTTTTGTATAAACGCAGCATCACTTTGAGCAAATGAGCAATAGAAGTTCCAAGCACTCGACGCAATCCAGAAGCAACAGCAAGCGTGGAATACTCGAACGCTATCTTATGGACGGAGCAACGCGGACTCCTTACTTATTGGGGCTGTTTATCTGGTTACAGTTCCTCCTTACATGATTGTTAACCTCCGCATCCCTTTGTTTCATCACGCAGGTCAGTGCCAGCCGCAGCAACTCGCTTCGATGGAACCAGCCCGTGAACTCTGAAATGCTTCTCCGTTTTGGACCTAATGATCATGGGGGCCACGCCTTACCTCAAAATCCGCCGCCAGAACCGGTGGAAAGAAGCTTCCGTGACGAGACGGACTATGGATCCTGCGATATTTCAGGCGTCACCAACCGTCGCAACGACGAGTGCGTCGCTGATCTCGCGGGTTTCCCTGAGCTTGCTGCGCGCAATAGATCCACCACAGTCCGCCGGCTGGCGTGTCTGGCGCATTCGTATCTGCGCCCGTGGATGGGGATTCCCGGGGTGAAGCGGGGGATGGGCGCGCGCGGAATGATCAGCTCGCGCATTTTACACCGAATGGGACGCATGGATCATGTAAATATCCTCGACGCCCCTCTTCCCCTCGCGTGTAACAGAGTTTTCGCATTTCCTGTTTTCACTCATTTCCCTTGTTCTTTCCCGCGCGTCCAATTTCAATTTAAAAGAGGTCTGACCGTTTTGTCACCCTCTCTCGTTCCTTCCCACCGTCACATCCAGGTGCTCTCGTGCGTCGGCCACGTGCGCATAGTCAACGGGGAGATTTTCTTCCGCCTCGGTGGCTTCGAGTTCATGTGGTACCGCATGCGCCGCTTCGCCTTCTCAATCCTCATGATCAACATCGCGGAAAAAGCAAGGGCCAGAAGTGACGAAAATGTGACATTTCCGTCACATTTTCGTATACGGTTTTTGGGGGTAAAAAGGTGATGGTTGGAAGTGCCAAGACCCCCGTCACGGGTCGGTCACATCCAATGTGACGGTGATGTCACGGAAATGTCACGGAAAAGCTTCTCCCGCGTCACAACCACCGTCACGGGTCGGTCACATGCAAGTCACGCACAAGTCACACCGGGGTTTCCTCCGTCGGGTGAATAACAAATGCCACGATTAGACACGATCTTATAGGGACCATACACGTGGCGACCATGACGTCATCATGCCATACCCTAAGTTACATTGCTCGTACAGTACAATGCGACTCGAGCCACAGTCCTGTCCAACCAACAGCCTTCACGTGGACGACCCCTAATAACCTGGGATCGCATCCACACCCTTCGATGTCCGCCACTGTAACCAATGCCCGCGCGCCATCTTACGATAAGACCTGCCACCCATTGGTCGACAATACATACAGCACGTCGCCATCCCACCACGTGCATATGGCGGATGCCGTTGAATTATGGCAACGTGTACGGCTGGAACTAGTCTCTTGATTACTACACCTATACTCCACCAGTGCATCCGACCATCCACGTACACACGCATCGACGATACATCGCATCCGCCACCGCCAGACGGATCTCACCAATGCCAACGTGTAATTATTCCCGTCCGTTGATATTGACACACGTGTACGTTGTACGCATAAAATGAAGCCGTGTGTGCTGGCCCACCTGTCATTCCCTCGACCGTCCACCACACCATTATCTAACGGTTGACCGGGCTGCCGCTGCACTTGCATCTACGGCTCCAGTAGGCCTAGGGCTCGCCACGCACAGCCCCACGATAAGCTGGGTTGGACCGTCTCGAACCGAATCGCGGTCCATATCTAACCGCATCGAACGGCACACATCCGAACCGCATTCCGTGTTTGTAACCCTACGCCAATGGCCGTGATTGTCTGCCTCATTACACTTTCTGCAAAATGGGTGACGGGTTATGTTTCCCCGTTGCTCACGACTTCCCGTGATAAATCATTCATATCTTCTTGTTCCTTCAATGCGGACACGCAATTTACCACAATCACTAGAACACGCGGCTGATGCCATACCAAATCCCATGCGTGATAGCCTCCTCACACGGCCTGCCACGGTTCCCATCCAACGCCGCCCCACACGCATTAGGCAAATGGTTTAGCTACGATTCTAGGCACCAGCTAACGATGCCACGCATCGCCTCCCGAAATTCGACCGATTATGCCTGCGGAGTCCTGCGGCTGACGCTCGCCTCCGCGCTCACTGCGTCGGCTGCCGCGATGCCGTCGGCCGAGATGCGCAGACCATGGCGGCCCCACGCCCAGCTCTGGGACGCCTCGTCATAGTCGGGCCGGAAATCCGCGATGGCCCCCCTAACTGCAGCCTTGACGAGGACGTGGAGGCCGTCCACAATCAGCGCGTTGGAGCTTGCGGAGTTGGCGAAGCGACCCTGGCGCGCCTCCCAGTGCATGACTGCATCTGACACCTGCGCACGGCAAACCACATACCCGCGCGCGTGAGGACACTCTCCCTGGTACTTTAAGTGATGTAAAGTTGCAAGGCGTATGCGTACCACGTGCTCCAGCCATGCCACGTGGTAGAGCTTCAGTGTCACGATCCCGTTCACCATCCTTGGCTTGAACGCCGCCCGTGCGCATGCTGTAAACGCCCCAGACGCGAACGGCATCCCGTCACGGTCGCAACTCCACCGAGAGAGAGCCAGCTTACCTGCAACAACGCGCACACACATAGTGCACATTTAATAACGGTTTCCTCTGCATGTGCAATGCACTCTCGTCCTTACCCGCAGGCACGTCTCCAAGGCCGACCCTATCTCGGATTCGGGACAGGGTGCGCCTCGCCCGTGTCGCCCAGGGACTCTTCATGTCTCGGTCGTGTCGAAACAGTCCAATCTTAGGCAGCGAGATGTCGCGAACTCTTCCTGCCGCACCAGTCTTCCAGTCGCTGAACGACCTGTTCAGGTCGATCCGACGTGCCTTGCACGCAGCGAGAGCAACGCTTGCGTAGCTCTCAGTCAGGTTATCCACGACCGCGCAGATGGCCCATGTCTTGGCTGCGTTGCTGGGGTAGAACGTCAGCTGCGAGTTGGAGCGCCTAATGAACAGCTCGGTGCGGGCCTGCTCACAAACCTCCTGCAATGTAAGACCACGCATTACGTCATCAGTCACCACGCATGTTCCACTCTGTGTACGGCACAATCCATCCAATATGCGACCCTACAACACTCGAGTCTTACCTTCCAGGGTTTGTCGGCCGGGAGGAGGTCGAGCGCCTCCTGCATAATGGCAGATGTGGAGTGTCGAAGGTGGCCCTCGTCCTCGTCGTCGAAGTCCCCCTCCTCATCGGACGCCGTATCGGACGTCGAGCGTGCCCTCCGCGCCTTCCGGCGCTTTCCCTTGCCGGAGCCGCGCTTTCGCCTCCTCCTCTTCTTATTGTTGCCGTCTTCCTTTGGTTTCGCAAGGAACGCCGTCTCCAGCCTTGCAATCGCACGTGCCGTGGCTTCATGGAGCTCCTTCATGCTATGCAGCTCCTCGCGCGTGACTGGTGCGTCATTAGGAGCACCTCCCGCGCCGGCGTCGTCCCCTTCTGCGTCGGCCTCAGCATTGTTGTCCGCTTCAGGACCATCTTCGTCTTGAGTGCGGCGTGGGTTACGACTTGGGAGAGCCTCGTTTGGATCGTCGTCCGATGATGGCGCCGGGGGTGCGTCAGGTTCCCCCTCCACTTGTGCAGAGCCCTCGATGACGTCTTGAACGGGATGCTTGCGCCTGCGACCCGCCTTCCCGCTGGATGCAGCGGCCTCGTCAACCAGCCGGCTGGACTGGGCAGAGGAGGAACTACCCTCTGAAGTGCTCCCATGCGACATACGCGAGTCCGCGCGAGTCCCATGAGATGGTGTCACGGCTGCATCTCAAACCAGGAAACAAACAACGGAGTTAAGTGACAAGCGCAAAGCACATACGAGCATACTGTGCATGAATGTCACAAGCCGGTGTAGAATGGACGAAGCATCAGACGCATTAGCAGGGCGAAACGTTGGTCACTCACGTGGCGGCGAGGGAGGACCCCTTGCTTGCTGCTCGGTGGCATGTTTCGAAACATCCAGACGAGGCTTCTTCGTCACCTTACGCCTAACATTCCCAGGCAGAAGGTAAGAGTTCCGTAGGTAGGCAGGCGGTTGTGACACGCGCTGACTCCTGCCCTCACGTGACGACACTGTGAAACTGTCCATCGTGAACACAGTTGTGGGCAAGAATGAGTCTGGCTTACATATTGGTCACTACTTACACATTCTGCGTCCAACCCAAGGGCACGTCTGTGCTGTACCCCCCCATTACACGTGGCAATCACTTGTCGGTCATACTGCGTCCGTCATCTGGCGGCTTTTGTCCACATGGCGACACCATGACGCAAAGTTATCCACATATCTCGTTATACAGTCGAGTCATTTGTTACCCAACATGGCAGCACCATAACAACATCTGCTACACCTTTTGTTAAACTAGTAAGGGTCATCGGCGAGGTGCATATGTAATCAGACATTGGAGGATATTCATTATGCGCCACTACAAGACATCCACATTGCGACATCAATGCAGTACGCACTCTTTCACACCAGGGGATAGAACTACATCTAGCATCAGAAGGTGTTCACACATAGTACAAAGCTTCCTGTACAGGTCCAACGACCTAGGCACCGCCATCCGTGTAGCAATCAGCCTCGCCCAGTTTCCTTGACGGCACAGCTCATGCCGCCATGGCACTACATATACCCATTTTTTCAGTCCATTGCGCCTACTCGTCCACCGCCTCCACATCATGGACCATCCTGCCTTCCACGTCGCCATCACCATTGCTGTTGTCCGGCGACCGAGCGCCATTGTTTTCGAGGGGGAAGGGAGTACTAGGAGCAATGCCCAGCTCTGCCATTGCTGTCCTCCACTGACGCCACCTCCACCACATCCGTGCCTTGACCAGATGACGCACGTCGTCGCGAACACACCCGATCAGGGATGCCTTCTCCGCGTCCGACAGCTCCTTCGTGTGCTGGATGTGGTCATTACGCCTGATCACAAATGCCGCCGCGGCATACGCATACGCCGCATCGAGCTCCACATTATACGCACCCAGCCTGATCTGCTGACCAGTGCCTGGGCCGCACACCATCTTAACCCCCCACTTTCGGCCCCGTGGGCACCAACTCACCCCTGTCTAGCGACTGGATGCAGGCCGACCACCGTACGCGGCAGGCATGCTGGTCTGACACACGGCCCGTGCTGCAGTCCTAGTCCCGGCACGCGTGCGATACCTGGCAGAGCGCGAGACCGTCGGCGGTGCTGCCGGAGTCACGGGAGCGGTTGGGAGCTCCTGCTCCCCCGTCGTCACGGGCTTGACATCGGCTGGTGTCGGCTCACTATGAATGATGGACGACCCATCGAGATGCGCAGAAGGGAACGATGGCAGCGGAAGCGGACAGGGAGCCGATTGGATGGTCATGCCGAGCGTCCGCATAGATGCGGCGTGCTCCACGTGGTTCTTGGACGTGGACAGAGCCAGCAGAGGCGTGCCGTGTGCCTGAAGCTCGTGTGCCGCTCCACTCAGCAGTTGATCCTCCGAAATGCCCAGCGAACGTGCCAGGCCCATGACAGCCGCACACACAACGTACCCCCCTAGCTCCACCCGGGTTATCATGCCTGACTGCCTCGCCAGGTCGGTGCGGACTTCGTCCTCCTTGGGAAAGACGAGGGCGCCGTGTTCTCCCACCTGGGGAAGAGGCTGCACGGGAACATCCACACCCTCCCCAAATAGCTTGACAATAAGGTCACCGGTGGCGTGGAGGGACACCTCCTCGCGGAGCTGGCGCCGGTAGGCCCACGATTTCACGCCGTAGAACGGCATCCACTCTTTGAGGATTGAGAAGCCGGACGAAACCAGGGCGTGGAGATACATGCCCACATAAATGCCACTGTCTACCACGTTCGACTGTTGTGGGATGTCTTCCGGCTGCCAGCAGACACGGAACATGAGAGCGCACACGTCAAGTGACTGACAAACCAGACTGTGTCCGCGACATGACTGCGACATGAAGTGCACTCACATGCATGATGTGGACGTCGGCATACTTCAAGTGGTCCTCTGCCTGCTTCCAGTCGGCCGTGGGCAGCTGAGCTTTGTGCAGCATGAGCAACATCCTGCAAGGGAAGTAGGTTACCGGTGGTCGTTATGTTGGCATCAACAACATTTATCAAGATTTGGGCATGGCACAAGTACAAGATGCACCACTCACTTCTTGACGCCCTCCATCACTTCCGGCCTCTTGGTGTGCAGCTGTGCACTATCGTAATGCACCAGCTCCACGCCGCCCTCTGCAGTCTCGGATAGCTTCCCGCTGACCATGGTGCGGAGGTTCGTAGCTATGACCAGCGAGTAGTGGCCCCTGGCACATGTAAGCACGTTGTATGTTAGGGAACGCGTGTCGACACCAACTGCTCTGGTACCCGGCAACTATCAACAGCATGAGCATCAAGGGGTAGACGCCTTACTCGTAACACACTGGGATGGCGAGGTAGTCCTGTGCGAAAATACACGGTGCATGGCCAAGGGGCCAAGCCTTGTTCAGGGATGTCGCGAACGTAAACGCCTTTGTGTCCAGAGCGAACCAGGTTTTGCCTCCTTCCAGCTTCGGATACCTTATGTTCAATATTCTGGATCACAGCACATATGCACGAAATGGCTCGTCAGGCAAGATACGAAAAAAAGAGCATACAGCATGTATAGTACACACCGATTCGTGGGCCTTACATGTTATGGAAGTCCACTACTGTGTCGGCCAGACACTGTCCGTCAGCGAGCGTCAGGACGTCCTGTGCTGGCAGCTGACACCCCACTCCATGGGGACCGTAGAGCGCCAACGTCTGGAAATCACGCTGATAGTTGGGGCGGGCAAGACGGGCAACGACATCGTCACTGGGAGGCGGCGGCACCTCTCCTGCGCCCCTCACACCGCTGCCCGCCGATGTCACTGTACGAGGGCGTGGCAACTCCTGCTTCACCTTGCGCTTTCGGCGCTCCTGCTCCGTTGACAGTGTGGTCAGGGCACTGGCCGCGCATGACACGTTGTCTCGCTGCACCAGCATACGCTGTATGTTCATCGTGTGCACTTAGAAGACTCAGACGCGTACTGTGTAGGTAGACGGGAGAGATAGACAGAGAGTCGAGCGTCCAAAACCTAGTCTGCTGTAAGGCAGCTCATCGGACGACTATATGAGGCAGTGGACATTGTAGCTTTGCCTGGTGTGTTGTTGTTCGGAAACCCTCAGCATAGACAAGGAACACCGAGCTTACCATAGCGCGCCAGATCCAGCTGTCCCTAAATTGGCGCCGAACGGTGGATATGCATGACGGGCACACGTGTCATGTTTTCGAATCATGCATAGGGCCCTCGGTGGGGACCTGGGATTTACTATGCATGTGGCTGCGAAGTTGCAAGAGTGGGTGTGTGATGGTCCATACTCGCTAATGTTCGTGCATCATCAAACACTCAACATCTTTGTTGTTGCGAATAAAACTTTCAACATCTTGTCCAGCGCACAATAAGCATGAACTACCACCACGTGGCTGTGGTCCGGTTCGCACATCCAAGGTGGCATTCAAAGCCTATCTACACGCTCTCGTTTAACACAGTCTCGCAACAACAGGTAAGACATTACATCCAATTTCATACTTGCACACCATTATGACATACCATAGCACGCCACACTCTTACGGTCGTCGAAGAAGGCCGTAAACACCCCTACATACCAAACTCCCGACCCCCCCGCACCATTACCGCGCCGAAGCTGGCCTCATTTCATGGTCGCGGTACATCAAATTACGGTTACAGTCGACGGACGGGGACGCTTGGTTGGCGTCCGACGCAGACGACTGACGACCAGAGCGTTCGACGCGCCAAACCGCTCTGGTGCGTCCCGCACATTAATGCCGAGCTTTAGGGCCTGACGGACAAGGTATTCGGTGTCGACGCGCGCCACCCGCCTGCGACAACGATGGTCATTCAGTAGCGGTCCTGGCTGCGTGTGCAGGGTTATCTCGCGGCCGTCCTCGGCGCCTGGGGTGTCGTTCATGGTGCGCTGCACGCGTGGCGGGAGAAGGGTCAGCTCGCAGTGCGCATAATCCGTGGCATGCATGAGAGTGTGGCCAGGCCGTGCGAACTCGTCTATGATGTACTGCAGCTGTCCCAGTTCCTGAACAAGAGGTTCGGACAAGACACAAAGAACGGGGTTTACGAACTCTCGCACGAAGGAGCGCCACGATGCCGGCACACAGCCGGCGCGCCACCAGCTGAGATGGACCGAAACCGGAGTCAAGTCCCTCCACGTTGAACCCATCCAGTTCACCATGATGGACAGGGGAGGGGCGTATCGGAACAATGCGCCGTCGCGCCACTCTGGTGTCATCATCAAATGGCGAAGGTATGAGGAACGGTACAGTGTCTTCCACAGCTCTACCAGACCGCACATGCCGGGATGGATGCACCTTGGCGTATCAGGACCCTGCATGTGAATGATTCGGAGGTTGCTCAGGTTCTGCACGCGGAAATCGTGCTCCGTCGTTTCCATCACGGATGGATCAGTTGACGAGTGGGCGTCCTGCGTCACGAGGACGATGACATGGTCGTCTGTAGAGTACGACCGCCCGTTCAACGCTTCAAGGTACTCGCTGAATATCTGACAAGCATAACACGCGAGGATGGAGCAGGCATGTTAGCAACTGGGATTGCACGAGGATAACGTCAAGGCATTCCGCATACTGGACGGGGTATGAGCAGAATATCTCCCTCCTCGGGCGTGACGAACCCGTCCACGCTGTGTCGCACGAACACGGTAAAATCGGGGGGTGTTTCAAGGCCTTGAGCAAGCGCGTCGTCCGCGCGGAATATGAGAAGAGGCGGACACATGATTGTTCCCGTTGCATTGAACAGGAAGCAGACATTGATGCGCCAGCCGGCCAGCGGATCATCGTGTCCATTTTCAGACTGAAGGAAGGGGAGCCTGGTGGGCAAGAGAGGCTCCTCCACGAAGCAGTACACGTCGTCTGGATTAGCCTTTATCTCAGCGAGTAGCATGGCCATTTCAGCCATGGTTGAGAGCTAGAGTGCACCACCGTCACCAGTGTGGAGAATATCAGCTCAACTAGCTTACTCTAGGAGGATGCTGGAATGACAGAGAGCGTCATTGTACACGCGGACATTATCCGCCACGTAATCACATCCCGCAGCACTCTTGTCCACATACGTTAGAGGTGTGGACACATGTGGTGTCGTCATTCGGACCCAATGCGCCACCAAACATCCGCACATCGACGAGAGCGGGTAAGATAAGTGGTCAGGATGGCGCCAATGTACAGTGAATTGGTGGGGTTTCGTTCGGGTGCGCTCATGTTGGAGAGGTTGTTGCTGTTCGGTTTGACTGGCCTAATCAACCGTCCTAAACCGATGCTATCTCCTGCTTTACGTGTTTCATGCAATGTTACTAATAACGGGTACACATTTGCCGTTCCCCACCGTTAACAAGGTCGCAATCACCGCTTCGGGAGGTGGTACCAAGACAGAGGGGGTTGCTGGTACATTTGTGTGTGTGTACGAGTGGCACAGTTTATCAGTAATTTGCAATTAGGGTTCGCGCCACCTCTTGCAATGCTGGGTAACGCATGCGAGGCATGCGGCTTGGAGCACGTCGACGACAACACGCTCCAGTCACATGTGTCTAAGAATGTCAAGTGCAGGAGGAAGATACAGCACTCTCGTGCCCAGCGGCTGGTGGAGGCGTATCGGGACGCGTTGCGCGCCAGGCGCGGAGCAAGGCCCCGTTCACCCGTGCGTTCTCGACGCAGCTATGAAGGCGACTCTGCTGAGAGGGCCGCAGTGGAACCGGGTGCAGTTGCCGATCAACCCGACCCTCCCGAAGGCCTAGAGGAGGATAGCGACGGGGGTGAGAGTGTCATGTCAGTGATTGGCGACGGCTTCAACACTCTGGTCGAGCTGTACATCTTCTTCCGCGAGGCCGATCTGTCGAGAAGGGAGGTGAACAGGCTGCTTAACATATTTCAGAACCCTAATTTCTCTTTGAGGGACGTGAGGCGGTGGCTCAATTTCGTGGACGTGAGACGCTATGGGCGCGACAGGGCGCCAAGTGATCATGTCCCATGGAAGACGAGGGACATCAAGTGCTACGGCCCGAGAGGAAGGATGTGTACGCTGGTGCTGCACTACCGAGATACTGAGTTGGTGAGTGCATGTGTACATGCCTGGGAAAGGGGCCACTAAATGTTCGTTTCGCGGAAGAGGGTAATGGACAGACCATTAACCCATCGTGTACATGCGTGTGGCAGCTGGTGAAGAAATTGCTACGCGCATTCCAGCACATTGCGGGATTTGTGACCAAGCCTCGGGCGGATGAGGATGACACCGATACGGTGCGGCATTACAGCACTCCCGACACGGGAAAGAGGCTGGAAGAAGCGCAGGTATGAACTCGTGTTCAGCTGGGTGGAATGCGCTTAACCGATCAAGCGTTGCATCACTGACGGTTGGGTCCACTATGTGCGCAGGCTGTGATTGGGGAGGAGGACTGCATTGTGCTGGGTGTGATTGTGTACAGCGACAGCACGCACGCCTCGAGAAATGGCAGACTGGCGGCATGGCCGGTCCTAATCAGTTTGTTCAACATCCCGGAAGCGCTCCGCTGGCAGGAGCCGGGCCACGTACTGGCTGGGGTTCTGCCGTTCCCGCCAGAGTGGGCGTCGTCGACCGAGAAGACACGCATTTTCCAGCAGTGCATGGAGGTGATATTCGAGCCCCTACTTCGGGCGCACAGAGGGTGAGTGGGTGTGAGAGAGGTGCTTACGCGCCATGCTATGACTTACATGAATACAGCTTACCATGTCGCCCTGTGCAGCGCCGAGTTGCGGTGGTTTTATGTGACGGACGCGACGGGCAAGGTGGTGAAGGCCTTTCCATGCCTTTTCGGGCAGCTGGGGGACTTCCCAGAGTCGTCGCGGTCAACTGCGACTCTGCAGCAAGGCTCACATCGGCCGTGTTCTTCGTGCTACATCAAGGAGACACATTTGGCAGAACTGTCACGTAAGTCGGTGGTGCGGACGGTGGAGCTGCAGAGGCGGGTCGTGGAGGCAATTCAGTCGGCTGACGACAGCAAGGCGGCGGAGAAAATCCAGAAGCGATGGTCCACACACCCTGTGCATGTGAGGAGTTGCAATGCATAATATGCTAGTATCACGGTGTCGGGTTGTGGACATGGGGGGGGTGACTGTGCGCCCGTTCATATGTGTGCCGTTGTACGGTGTGGCAGTGCTATTTGGAACGGTGGAACTTTGCCGAGACCACGTGGGGAAACGTGTTCCTCGCATGCGCGGCGGACCTTCTCCACGTACTGGACGGGGGAATGCTGCCACGCATGGGCAAGTGCTTCATGATTGGGAGGAGCAAGCCGGAGAGGCGTGAGTTTGAGAGGTGGGTATGGATGGGAATGGCGACACGTTCGTGGTCGTTCCGGGGGCTGTGCTGACCCTCTATCCCCTCCATGGCAGGCGCCGCAAGGAACAAAAGAAGGACACGCGCACATGTGTGGTGCGCATCCCGGGGGGGACCACATGGTTGTGAAGAAATGAGGAATGAATGAACTAGGAAGCAGTTGGATACAAATGTGAAACCCTAGAAACCTGTACCCCTTAGAGTCTACCCCACTACAGCCTACACAGGCTAAGTCATATATATCTGACACACCCCCATAGGCAAAGTGGGGGAGAACTAGGGGTCACAAGACCAGTCAAGCAAAGCAAAACAAAGCAAGCTCAGGGTGGATCACAAAGTCACCACACAGTCCGAGCATAGGTTCAAGACCACAAGGCCAGTTCACATGCAGGAATATATAGAAAGGTAAACAAGCAAGTGCAAGTATAAATAGATCACAGTACAAGCAAGGTCAAGAGGTGAGCAAGTGAGGCCAAGTAGGCACAAGACCTAGCATCGTACAGCAGCGCTGATGATCACCAGGCGGAAGTGCCTTGGTAAAGATATCAGCAGTGTTGGCCTGAGAGGCCACGTAAGCAAGGCGCAGCTGACCACGCTGCTGCAGCTCACGAGCAAGGAAGTAGCGAAGAGCAATGTGCTTCGTTCTGTGCTCCAGTCTGTGCTCCCGACACAAGGCCAGCATGGCCTTGTTGTCTACGTACAGAACTGGAGGAGAACGAGGCGGCTCTCCCAGGTCGGTCAGCAGGTAGGTGAGCCAGCGTAGCTCCTGTGCAGCCATGGCCCCCGCGTAGATCTCGGCCTCACAGCTGGAGCCGAGAACAGAAGACGAGCGGGTAGACCACCACGAAACAGAGCCGGAACCAAGGCTGAAGGTGTAACCCTGTGACGACCGCTGCGTAGCCTGGTCGTCAGCCCAAGAAGCGTCTGCGTGACCGGTGAGGACCACTGAACGACGCCCTCCAAGCACTAGCCCCATGCCTGACGTACTGCACAAGTAGCGCAACACCCTCTTCGCTGCAGCCATGTGCTCTGGTCGGTGTCTCCCAGGAGCAACATAGCGTGCCAAGATGCTAAGAGGGTATGCAAGGTCAGGTCGAGTGCAGGTCATCAGGTACATGAGGCAGCCAACAAGCTCTGGGTACGGGCCACTCGGCTCTACGGACTCATCCGAAGGCAGAGCTGAGAGCGAGTGGCGAGTAGACAGAGGAGTGGCCTGAGGCGAGGAGTACGTGAAGTCGAAGCGCTGAAGGACCTGCTGCACCATGTGTGACTGAGTCAGGGTAATGGTGCGCTGTGCTCTGTTTCGGGTGATCTGCAAGACAAGGTAGCTACGCAGTTCACCCAGGTCTGTGCATGGGTGTCTCTTCTGCAGCTCGGACTTCACGTGGGCAAGTCCAGCAGTGTCAGCAGTGGCAAAGACCAAGTCGTCGACGTACACGAGGATGTAGAACGGCGGCAAAGAGGTGTCGGTGCGCACAAACAGCGACGGGTCGGCAGTAGAAGGAGCAAACCCAAGAGCCGCAAGTGTAGTCCTCAGTGTGTCGTGTCACTCACGGGGCGCCTGGCGGAGACCGTAGACTGGCCGCTGGAGGCTCCACTGGGTACCAGGAGGAAACGACCCAGTGAAGCCAGGTGGGCGGCGCAGTTAGATCTCCTCGTGCAGGCTGCCCTGCAAGAAAGCTGTGCTGAAGTCAAGAGAGTGAAGCTCGTAGTCGCGCTGAGCGGCTATGTGCAGCAGCACCCGAAGAGTGGTCATCTTCGGGGTGGGAGAGAAGGTCTGAAAGTAGTCAACTCCCTGCCGCTGACTGAAGCCTCGAGCCACGTAACGCGCCTTGAAGACAGGTGGAGAACCCGGCGGCCGCTTCACCCTGAAAATCCACATGCCACTGACGATGTTCGCCCCATGTGGGGGAACCTCGTCGACGTAGGTGCCTGTGGACTTCCAGGAAGCCATCTCTGCGTCCATGGCTGACTGCCACTATGAGGAGTAGGGACCCTCGATCGCCTCAG